GATCTCCTGACTTCGTGATCCGCCCGTCTCGGCCTCCCAAAGTGCTGGGATTACAGGCTTGAGCCACCGCGCCCGGCCCATCATCAGTTCTTACCTTAATTGACCTCCTCGAAATTCCATGTTGTTGGTCTCCCCCTCTTTCCTAAAGTTTGTTCTTTCCTTGGCTTTTTGGACACTCCTCCAGAGGCGTTTTCTTTCCTTTCTGGCAGCTCCTCTTTGGTCTCTGTTCCGGCGACTCAAGTCTGCCCTCTAAATATTGGCATTCCTAGAGATGAGTCCTGTCCTCAGTCCTCTCTTGGCTTAATCTATATCACGTCTCTGAATGTGGGATTGTCCCCTCCCAAGACTTCAACTTTTATGATATATTGATGATACCCAAATCAGTTCCTCCATCCCAAATCTCTCTGCCCAAATACTTATCAGTGCCTAGCACATACTAGACACTTGATACATTTGTTAAATTACTTAACATCTTCACTTGGATGACCCATAGCACTTGAAAATCAGTCTATAACTAAACTCATCATCCTTCTTCAAGCTCCTCCCAAGATCTGCTCCCACTCCTGTGTTCTCTGTTTTGATAAAAGCCACCGTCATCTCCTTTAAGTAAGCCAGAAACCTGAGAGTCAGCGTAGGCTCACTTCCCTCTCGCGTCTCCCCATATCTAGTCAGGCAGTCATCCAGCCTCCCGATGTACTTCCTTAGTTTCTCTAGAATCTGGCTCCCTTTTGTCGAACACTGCCTCACTTCATAGCCACGTCATCTCTTACCTGCATTCACACAAAAATGCGTTCTTTGCCTGTCTTGTCATTCTTACTAACACTCTCCTCCTCGCCAACCCCGTCCCCCACCAACTGTCACATCCATCTTTATACTTGCCTGGGCAACTTCACCTCCTGGCACCTCAGGAGTAAGCCTGCTGTCTCTTCATTCCTTACTTCTCTCTGTGTTATTTATTACCCTTACCTGGAAGGCTTTTTTCCTACTTTGTGTCTCAAAGACTCATTCCGGCCTCTCCTTTAGAATGCATAGGCAACCCCATCTCTGGAAAGCCTTCCCTAACTCTTTCCCTCCGGACCACTCTGAACCTGCCAGGAATCTCAGTACTTACACAGTTTAGCATTACTTGTTGATTGTCTACTGCAATAGACAGAATTCCCTGAGGCAGGATCCTGAGTATTTTATCAAGGAGTTAACAGAGATGTTCAGTAAGTACCTGTTGAGTAGAAGATTTTTTTTTTTTTTTTTTTTTTTTTTTAGACGGAGTATCGCTCTGTCACCAGGTTGGAGTGCAATGGTGCAATCTCGTCTCACTGTAACCTCTGCCTCCTGGGTTCAAGCGATTCTCCTGCCTCAGCCTCCCGAATAGCTGGGGACTACAGGTGCATGCCACCACGCCCAGCTAATTTTTTGTATTTTTAGTAGAGATGGGGTCTTACTATCTTGGCCAGCATGGTCTTGATCTCTTGACCTCGTGATCCGCCCACCTCGGCCTCCCAAACTGCTGTGATTATAGGCATGAGCCACCGCGCCCCGCCAAGTAGAAGTTCTTTGGATAAACACATTCTAGGAGTGGGGTTAAAATGTGCAGAATGTGTGAAGAATATGACTAATAAATTTCTTCTCCAAAGAGTTCTATTGATTTACACTGCCACCAACAAAAAAGCCAGTATATCAACTGAACCATGTTTCTAACAACCATTTACTGAATGCTTATCATCTGTCAGGTGTTGTGCCAGAAGAATGGAGTTCCTATCTATAAATATTTCATCATTTTGAGTAGTGCAGTCCAACAGAACTTTCTGCAGTAATGGAAATATTCTATATCAGCACTGTCCAATAGGGTAGCTATTAGCCACATGTGGCTTCTGAGCCCTTGAAATGAGACAAGTGTGACTGAGGAACTGAATTTGTCATTTCCTCTAATTTTAGTTAATTTACATGTAAATGTAAACACTGGTGGCAAGTGGTCATCTTATTGAACAGTGCAGCTCTGGAGAGAAAAAAGGAAATCAGTCAGTAGACATAACTGCCACATTCTGGATTATTTTTTAAATGCTAGTGGCTCTAAGCCCACGTCACTAAGGTGTGGCCATCTCTCAAGAGCTATCATTTTTATTAGCACCACCTAATTTGGGAAATATTTTATTTTTTTCCTTTTTTTTGATTAAAACAATTTTTTAAAAAATAGAGATGGGGTCTCGCTATGTTGCCCAGACTGGTCTCAAACTCGTGGGCTCAAGTGATTCTCCCGCCTTGCCCTCCCAAAGTGCTGGGATTACAGGCATGAGTCACTGTGCCTGGCCAGATTTGGGAAACATTTTATAAATAGGTGCTTAGATCAGGAGAGCAACGTCTTACATCAGGAATACGACCAAAATGTGTAAGTCTGAAGACTTGAGGTAAAGTGGGAAACGTTAGTCACAGTGCTTTTTATCCAGAGGCGTGGACTTAGTTACTCCAAAGGAGGCCAGAAGCATAACACTTCTGGAGAGGCATCTACTGGACTTGTTTTTCCACGAAACTGCTAGACTTGTTTTGATCAGGCAGGAAGTGAAGCAACTTTTCAGGGAGAAAGCCCAGCATCTGCATCTCCTCTGGGGCAGATCACACCTTTTACCTTCTACTTGTGAGCCTAGGTCGAGTTTTACTTTACAATTAAGGGAAGAGCACGGCAGGCAAAACTATTCTCTTACAAGATGGCTTTTTAAGATTTCAAACCCAAGGTTATATTTTTAATCGGTACCTGTTTGGATTGTCCAAATTAATTTATATGCTCTTAAAATAAAGACACTTACCTAACTGCACAATTCTTTGCACATAGAGGACTTTGAAACGAATAAGCACACTGAGTTGCATTACATGAATCCTGTCAGATAAGCACTTGTGACCTACTGGCAACCTTTTATAAGCTGATGATGGGAGAGGAGTTTCAATCTCTTTATTGGAATTGTTGGAAATGTGCCAAAGAGATAACCTGGAGTATATTGTCCTGAAAAGTCCTGTTTTAATATTTAATACGAACATCTTATACCCTTGGAATTCGGGTAGGCAGTTGTTGGGCTAAGAAATCTGGGGTACAAGGTCGTGTATGTGTTGGTTGGCCAGGCAGGCCTCTAGACAGGACTCAAAACTTTGAGGTTTTTCCCAGTTCGACTCTTCGTAAGAGAACAGAAGCACCGCCTGTGTGAGGCCCTGCGAACCTCGCCCAAAAGTCTTCCTACAGGATGCCCCCGCGACCTCATCGGGGAAACCCTACGGACACTCAGGCCAGCAGCGCCCAGAGCTCACTCCAGGTCTCCAAACCAGGGCGCGCGCGCTCGGAGCTGGACTTGCTTGCTCCAGTGCACGCCGCGGAACGAACCATCGGGCTGGCGGGGGTGGAGGGGTACAGGCGCTGTCTCTTATACACATCTAGATGTGTATAAGAGACAGGGTCAGAGTACTGTCCCGTGGTGCCCAGGAGGAGTAGGAGCAGGAGCAGAAGCGGGACCCGGAGCTGCGCGCCTACGCGGGACCTGCGTCCGGGATGCCGGTGCGAGGAGACCGCGGGTTTCCTCCCCGGCGGGAGCTGTCAGGTTGGCTCCGCGTAAGTGCCTCCTTGCGCCGCGCGGTTGGGAGGAGGGTCGCGAGCGTGAGCGTGGGAGCGCGGGGGCTCTGCTCGCGTGCTGCTCTGAAGTTGTTCCCCGATGCGCTGTAGGAAGCTGGGATTCTCCCACCCGGGCGTGGGACGCAGGGAAGGGGTAGGTTTCACCGACCGGGTGGATGGCTCGTGGCCTCCGGGTCTCCTAGAACCTTTACTCTGAAGTCACTTGGGCTGGAGATTAAGGCGCGAGTAGGGGACACGGTCTTGAACCCAGTGTCCTGGATTTCTGCTGGCTTGGAGGCGTCTCGTTGTGTCTGTTGTGTCGCTTGCATGTCTTTGTGTTTCCTTCTCTATTTCAAACCACACTCTGTATTGATGCAGTTACAGACTTGTGTACATGAGAGAAACTGAAAACTCCTCACAGAGCAGAATCCCTTTTCCTTTTCAATCAGTTGCCTCTGTAGTATAAGTAAAATTTTTTTTTTTTTTTTCAGTGGAGAATGGGGATGGAGGTTTGGAAGGACCCACAAAAGAGGAGTGTGATGAATGCTTTGTGTTCTGACACTATCCTACCTGTCACCAGTTCCTTTTATTTTATGTCTTCATTTGTCAAGTTTCCGCTTTTACACGGTAGTTTAAGTTATAAATACAGGGTTTTAACATTCTTGAAATGTGGACAAACTTGGGAGTGAGTGCTCCAGCGCTTAGTAATGGAATACAGTCTCCCACCTCTATTTCAGCTTCAATTCTTAGGCTAGGCTGCTTTTCTGGCAGCTGTCTGGCCTGAGTAATGATGGTTGTGGTTTCCCTTAAGTTCCCAGCGGAGAGTCATCCCATGATAGAAACTGCCTTGCGCTGCTCACTCCCGCTCTCAGCCCGGGGAACCCCAGCGGGGAGGAGGGAGGCCGTTTTCTTCAGCTTCCCAGGTGGTCTGTGCTGGGTGTGCTGACGGTCCTCTTGGGAAAACAGGTCCACCTTTGTCAGCATGATTCAGAGAGAGAGGTAATTTTCTAAGAGAGCACACCTGGGCAGATCACTTGACGTGAGAAATTCGGAGCGGTAAATATATTTGTAGCAAAGTACTAGTGCATATCCTGCTTGAGAGAATGAAATTTGATTATTCAGTAAGTTTTCATGAACCACTCCACTTCAATGTAGGGATTACGGAGATGGGCAGGAGCGTGCCTCTGTCACCCAGTCCTGTTGGGAAAGCCTGCAAGTCATTAAGAGTCTGATGAGTGCCATTTAGTAATATGGACAGGGTGCTGGAGCTTCCTCACTGTGGCGAGACGGCAGAAGCAGAGGTGCTTTACTAAAGCACCGGTGGCTTTTGAGGTGTTTCTTGTGGCTTTTCAGACACTTCTGCAGATTGATGAAGGGGAACTTCTCCCCCATGAAATGCTGCTGTAACTTTTTCAGTACTATCCAGCCCCTACTCCTGCCAGTCACTGTGGGAGATACAAAGATGAACAAGATTCAATTTCTGCATTTCGGAAGCTAGTGGACCTGAAACTGTTAGACTTTACTCTGCAATCTCTGTCGGGATTCCTGAGACTGAGAGGGGGGATGTATGATGCCGATGCACACTCTGTAATACAGAAATTCAGCAAAGGGTGGGATTGGTCCTGGATGCACTCCTTTCGGGGATTCTTGCTGGCAATAAAAGATTCGAACAGATACCTCACCGTGCAAGCCGCTGTAGAAAATGGGGCTAGTAATGCGCCCACCTCACGGGGCTGAGTGAGATCTGAGTGAAATGACGTAGGGTACAAGGCATGTGGTGGATGCTAAGTAAATGGTAGCTAGTAACATGAACCAAAACGGGTGCTGAAAACTCTTTAAGTGCTGGGTCCTGGGTTGAAAAGGGAAGTGAGATCTGGAGATACAAGTAGGAGGTGCCAGGTAGGTGTCCAGGAAAAAACTGAAAGAGTTGTTGTTCACACTCTGTTGAAAGGCCTTGAAGGCCATAACGAAGCTTTGGGTGGGGGGAAGTCATAGAAATCCCTAATGTATTAAATGACTTGTCTTTCCCTACAAAAGAAGTGAACCAGTTTCCCAGTAAACATTCCACCCCATAACTATTTTTGAGGCATTCATAGGCTTAAGACCAATGAATTTTTACATCACCCCCTGGGGAACTGCATTTGCAATGACTTTTGCCTACATTTAACTTTTGATCTAGTTCTTTGTACGTCGACAAAAGTTCACAGCTAACCATTTCTCTTCAGGACAAGCGTGAGAACTTTCTGCATACTACTGAAGGCAAGGGAGATTTTGAGGTTAGCAAGGTTTTCTCTCCTTAAGAAGGTTATCTTTTTACGAGACACAAGTTCTTGAAACTAGGTGGGGCCACTTTAGTCCTGTGTACAATAATACGTGTAGTAATATAAACAGTAATTTAAAAAGTCATGCAGATTTGGTTGGGGAGTGGCTGAAGTGTGGGTGTGGTGTGGGGTCAGGTTGAAGCGGTAGAAGGGTTTGCAATCACTGCTGAAACTTTCAACATATTCTACCAACAATATGAACCACCAGGGAATTCCTTTCCTAATCTCTAGAACGAGTCTCATTAAGCAGTTGTGGCTACAGATGAATTTATCTAGGTTGAGAGCTGATTCCCAATAACATGCCTCATTGATTTGACTCTAAGCAGTAATCAGGGGCCTAATAGTTGTTGGACCAGCCAGCTTTGATTTTCCAGAGGTGATTTGGTATATGGTAGTGTCTGAGGGTGAGATTGCCCCAGATGGGAGTGGAGGGAAGCAGAACAGTTTCCTCTGGTGTTTAACTGAGTTTGTGTCTTGATCCTAAATCCAAGGGTCAGGGTCAGAACCATAGACTCAGAGGTTAGATTTAACACCCATTTAGTGAGTTAAACACATCAATGGTTATGGGAACTTTGTTAAGGTTTAAAAAACTATTTAGGGCCTATTTCACCCTCATAGGAATTTTTGCAATCAGCCTTTTTAGTAGATGCCCATATAGAAAGTGAATTTGGGACGGTCTAAGGTGGTATTACGATTAAACTTTTTGAAAAGGCTATGTGATAGCAATGGGAAAAAAAATTCAGGCTTGGAAATCCAATATGCAGTATTGCAATAGCTAGTTTTAATTTAATTTTTTGTTTGTTTGTTTGTTTGTTTTTGGAGATGGAGTCTTGCTCTGTTGCCCAGGCTGGAGTGTGGTGGCGCAATCTTGGCTCACTGCAACCTCTGCCACCCGGGTTCAAGCGGTTCTCCTACTTCAGCATTCCAAGTAGCTGGGATTACAGAAGTGAGCCACCGTGCCTGGCCACTAGTTTTAACTGTGGTTGGTACCTAGGAAAGCAGTTGATTGAGCTAGTATGCTGCATACACTGTAGTGTGAGAGACAGAGTTCTAAGTTGGAGAGTGTCTGCTCCCACTTTTTCCATTTGATTAGGAAAAGCACTTCTTAGAACTGGGTGACTGACAGCTAGAGCCCCGGAAGACCTGCACAGGCTGGGGCAATGGCTGCCCATAACAGTGACGGTTCCATTCTGTTTTCTAAAGGAATTCGTGTCTCTATCATCCAGCTGGCTATTAAACAACCAAAGCTTCGTCATCCTAGATAACCTGTGAGCTCTCAGAGGAGACAGAGTAAGGACTCTCATACCCCCCAAATACCTAATCATTTAATAAAGTATTTTCTCTACCTTTTATGCTATGCCCACAGCACTGCTTTCCAAAGTCTGGTATACAGACAGACTTACAGGTGGTGCAGGGAGATACATATTCTATTTTTCAGTTATGATGCTTGAATATTATATGTTAGGAATAAAAAGCAGAAAACCAGCTACCACATCCATTTATTTCAAGGCTAGATTGCTTAGAATGAGGCAAAAATAAATATTAAGTAAAGCAGTGAGTTTGCTTTAAGAAAAATTATCAATTGGGAATGAGTAATATGAGGCTAAGGCAAAAATGGTAAAGATAGCCCTTGACATCTAAGGTGTGCACAGTACTGCTTAACATTTGAGTGTGGCGCTTACTAATAGAGAGCCTAGTATACCTCAACCATGCATTCGAGAAAGTCAAACACAGAATGGCCCAGAATAGCCAGGAAAGTTGAATTTGATGGACTTTCTGTCTTAAGCGTGTGCATCCTGCTCTTATCCACCAGATGTCTTAGGTGCGGTTGCAGACAGTGGATTTGTAGAGCTGTTTGTTTTAATGTCTGGCCCAATTCTCATTCCTTTCTCTGCTTCCATAAGCCATTCTGCAGTTTTTAAAGGTCTGTTGGTATGACATTTTTGATATGATAGAGTGATAGGGGAGGAAGTATTTTGGCACTGATGAAGGACATCACTCTATTATCAAGTGACTCTTGCTCATGATTCATTGCCGAAGAATGTGGACAGCCAAACAGCTTCACCTATAAATGCATTTAATTTCTCAAAGTCAGAAGAATGTCAACTGGATAAGTTGTTGTTCTCTTTTTTCTTCTTCTTCTTTTTTTTTAATATGAACCTTGTATTGGTCTGTAAAATAGGCTTTAACAAGGATTTTCGTAGGAACTGGAAGCCTTGAGGTAGAAAACAAGTAGCCCTGCTTTGACCTAGAGAGATGCATGCTCATGGTAGGCGAATAAATCAAGGAGAAGAGAAAATACTGTTTCAGTAGACTCTCTAGTGATGTGTGTGTTCACACCATTTATGAGAAATCTGTAGTTTTCAATTAGTAACTTGTACTTTAGTCATTTAAAATCAGCACAGATATTTGTTTAGTGCCTCTGCCAGATGGTTAAAGTTAAATCAGGTTTTTTTAACCTGAAAAACGTAATGTAGCTTTCCTTAACCATTTACACACCACTGTATATTTCAGACCATAGTCAGATACGTTTTGTTATAATGAATGCTTATTTTAACTTTTAGCCCAATTAGAATATCAGTGGTTATGGTTTCTATTTTGTTTTTCTTCCTACAGTTACTGTATGGGGGTGCAATAACAGCAGCAGTGGTGAAAGTGAATTTCTTTCTTTCTTTTTTT